CTAAAGTTAACTTTAGTGGTTTTATACCTCATATTAACCAGATAGTGGTTTTATGCCTCATATTAACCAGATAGCGGTTTTATGTCTCATATTAACCAGATACTGGCTTTATGCCTCATATTAACAACATAGTGGTTTTATGCCTCATATTAACCATATAGTGGTTTTATGCCTCATATTAACCAGATAGCGGTTTTATGTCTCATATTAACCAGATACTGGCTTTATGCCCCATATTAACAATATAGTGGTTTTATGCCTCATATTAACCATATAGTGGTTTTATGCCTCATATTAACCAGCTGACAATCAGAAGCCATTCTATGGGATGGGGAACCTGCTAAGCGGCACAGGAGGGACATTCTGAAGCCATTCTAGGGGACTGATAACGCCTAATAACGTCCATTTCATGGATGATAACATCCGAAGTGGGTGTTACCTCTCTGGTAATACATAGAGGCTGAAAAGCATTTGTGCCGCAGGTCATAACTTCTGTCTTGTTCACCAGCAGGACTCTGACGTAGTTCTGACATTCAATCTGAAAGGGGAAAACAGAAAAGAAAAAGTGGAAGATTAACGCCTACAAAAAGTTAGAGTTGGGCTTAAGTTCCTAAAACGTTTGGACGTTTTACTAAAAAGGAACAATAGATAAAATCTTTATGCAATCCAGTGCCTGCAAYCTCTATTCTTGAGTCCTTTGTTCAAAAATATGAATACTAGTTTGTAACAAAAATGAGTCCGATTAGTGACATCGACAAAGGCTCTATAGTAAGTCAAGCACGTGTTTCAGCACAAAGGATCAAATCTTTTCGAACAAAAGCTTGACATTGATTTATTGGTCTTTGCTGCTGACAACTGAGGTAATTGCTACAAAGTAGGGATCCCAGAAAATTGGTTTGTGCATTTGGCATCACTCTTCACCTTCATGTTGCATACCGCTCCTGCAAACTTGTCTAAATAGGAAAACTGTTCGCAGCAGTTCTCAGATATGTTGGAATACAAATGGCTCCTTTGTCACCACAGGCGCTGTTTTGCACATTTTCTTTCATTTTCTTTCTGCGAGTTCCTTTTTATGTCTTTTTACAGGCAGAAAAACAAGTCTTGATTGAAGGGTCTGTAATAGGTGTCCTGGGCAGCGCCCTCCCAGGAGACACACAAGGACCTTTTTACTGGGAGATATCAGAACGGCCTCACTGTAAGCCCGGCTGTGCTGACATGAAGTGCTGTAATTGGGGTTGTGATTGAGGTTACCTCTGTTTTGCCTTTGCTCTGACACGACTTCCTGGTTTCCTCGTCCGGTGCCCACTCTGTCGCCTGGGAAACAAACACAGGATGACAAAAGGGATGATTTGGCCAAGAAAACAGTCAGCTGAGTTCCTGAAAACACTCCAGAAAAAAGTTACACAACATCTGACTGCTGGTAACACTGAGGGCAATTTTAAAAAAAAGACGTTAACCTCGCTGTTGTTTRTTTGTTGTGTAAACATGAAGCAGAAGGAAGGGGAGTGGGTGCAGCTGAAGGGCTGAGGATGGCATTAGCATGTAAATAGCTTTCGCTCTTTCCCTTTTCTTCGAGTCTTTCTGAAAAAGTTTGCAGCCCTCACCTCCTCTCCCTCACTGCTGCCACTGCTACAAGCTAATTACATTCCTGTTGATGGCTACAGTATGTTTTAGGCTTCATTTTAGATGCAGCAAAGCAACAGCTGCAGTGCAAACACCCTGATGCAGCCTGCTTGGCCACCAGCGCTGCACTGGCTGCTGATAAGACGGCAGAAAGTTGGCCCTCATTTGGCACAAACTGGAGATGAGCTGGTGCCAGAGGACCCCCTGCTGTGGGTCACTGGCCTCATTTACACCCATCCTCTCCTCAGCTTCTTGGATATATTTGGATTACTGAAGTTACTAAAGTTTAACTTTTTAAAACATTACATTTTCTCAAAAAGAAAAAAAATAAGTAGGTCCTCCGGATGGGTTCATCTTTAGTGAAACGTTTTGTCTCTTGTCCAAAAGACTTCTTCAGTCTGATGAGTTTCAGGTGAACTCAGCCTTATAAGCACTGCCTCCACATGGACAAACAGGTTAGTCACATGCAAAAGAGGGCCATCGCCTAACATTAGGCTTGATTAGCTCTATTTAGTCACATGAAAAAGAGGGCCATCGCCTAACAATAGACTTGATTAGCTCTATTTAGTCGAATGCAAAAGAGGGCCATCGCCTAACAATAGGCTTGATTAGCTCTATTGTTCATAAGAGGGTCATGTGCCCCATCACCTGACTTATTGGTTTGGATGCTTCGGCTGTGGTTATTTGGTGCTTTGTTATGTGACTAACCTGTTTGTCCACCATGTGGAGGCAGTGCTTATAAGGCTGAGTTCACCTGAAACTCATCAGACTGAAGAAGTCTCTTGGAGGAGAGACTAAACGTTTCACTAAAGAAGAACCATCCAGAGGACCTACTTATTTTTTTCCCTTTTGATTTTTTTCTACCTGGATTACTGAGATGCATCAAGACATTTTCTGTTTTTCATTTACAGTAAATGCATTTCAGTTATGCATTTCTCCTTAAAGGTTTTGCAAAAAAAAAAAAAAACGTTGGATCTTGTTCAACATTCAATAAATAATGCAACGCAAGAATCAGAAAAACATCAAACTCAAGACTGAAAGCATTCGATCCTGTTTAGTATCAAATAGCTTTATCTAAACCTGACTGCGTTTGTTCAAATAATATTTTGACTCCTGCTGTTCAAACAGCTTCAGACTATTTTAATTTGGTCAGTTTGTCTTGAGGTRCTTCTCCTCACACCCTTTTCCTATTCTCTTCTTTCCTCTCATTAAAGCTCAGAAGAAAAGCCTCAAACTGTAAAACAGAARATTTAGAAGTTCTGAAGAGAAAACACAGTTTTCCGGTAATCACATTTTTTAATCCGTATTTCAGAAGATGCAACCATTTTWAAAATTCAAATCAAAATAAAACATCTTAATCACAATGAATGAGAACCTAAAATGAAACCAAAATTGTTCTGGTGGCAAAACGTTAATTTTAAATGTGTTGAATAAATAAGCAGGTCTCCAATTTCACAGATCAGAGGGTTGATCAACTCTTCCCACAGGGGTGGGGGAGCTCATGATTTTGCATGATTAGTGTCTGCATAAATTGTTGCTAATGAATGAAAAACCTAAACAGAGCACAAAGTTAATGAGCTGGGCAAACATCTGCACACTGTCCTGGGATTTACTACAATCTTTGTTTTTAAACCAAGGATATATTCAGTGACATTCTGTGACTGTAATTGTTTTCTATTAGTGTGTGAAAAAACAGCTTGGTGCCAGAACGCAGCAGAGGGAATCAGTCCTGCTGCTATCAGTCCTACTTGAATCTAAATCTTGATGGTTCTTCTAAATGGAAGAAAAAGATAAATATGGGAGAGCAGGGATGGAGGTTTGTTTTTCCAATCACTAAARTGATGACACCTGCAAAGATACTACTGTATAATGCTGCTGTTTTGTTGGGAAAGTAAGGTTTTGAATAGACTGCACTGAATTTTCATCATACCGTCTTCAACTTATGCAATAATTAAACCGTTTTCGGTGAGTTTTAAGTTTTAAATTATGGGGTCATCATTTTTATTTAGCTTTTATGTGATGTTTTATCATCAAACAACAAACTTAAAACCTACATCTGCCACAGACAATTTCTAATAAAAATAGGAAAAAGGCAAAAATCAAAAAGAAAATTTGATGTGGTAGAAGCTGAGCATAATCTCCAATACATAAAGGCAATAAATAGAGTGAAAAAAAGTTTTGTTTAAAACAGAGGGTCTTAACCTTTTTGACCTCGGGGCCCAATTTATTGAACATAAAGTGACACGAGGCCCAGTCAG